TGACAGAAGCTTGTAAGGTCTTTCCTAAAGCCATCAGCTTGGAAACAGGTTTCCAACAGGCAGTGATCAGTATGCCGTAGTCTACGTGACTCTTCTAAGAGACTCAAGGTACACATCTGTCAGTGGTTCCGTGTGTGCTGAGAGGACACTGCCCTGCACATCTGAACTCTTCTAATCTCCAATGGAGTAATTTCAGATCATTCAGCTGGCTGATTGCCAAGAACCAGCACTGCCTAGGTTATGCCCACATCTTTTGTTTTGTTTCCCTCACACTGCCTTGAATGTTGGGTTAAGGAAACAGAAAGCCTATACAGATACCACCAAATTTAAGAGTTGAATAAAATTGTTTCAAATTACATGCTGTGACTAAATCTAAACTCACTGTCCACCAAGGAGGACACCAGAAAAGCAGGAAAGAGAACTTGCAAACCTCCATACTCAGCACAGAACAAAGACTTACCAGACATTTGAAGAGATGTACTAAAGGAAAACAGAAAAATCAGAAGCAGGTAGATAGCCATTGTCAAATGTTTCACTCCCTTCTCCCCTTCCCCTCAGATTGATGCTGAAGACCAAATTTGTGCCTTGCAAGAAAACCCTTCTGCACTGAATCAGTTTAACAAATCCGTTTCAGTTTTTAAGACCTGACAGATAGAGGGAAGTTCTGAGCTACAAATAAGGAACTGCATCATGTCATATGAGTAATTTTGAAATAATATGTTAATGAATAAACTTTGCTTTCTAAGCTAATTTCTCTACTGTATAAAATTTTTCTCTTCCATGGAAATATGAAATCCAAGAAGTAACATCTTAGTGAGGATTTTTGGAAACGTATTTTAAAATTCAGGATCATTATTTTTATGGAGAAGGTGAAATGAATACGTCTTTACCAGAAATAAAGGAAAAGGGTGAAAAAGAAGAGGAAGATTTGTCTATATCAATAAATGATTTAAAAAGCCAGAGTCCAATACAGTACTGTGAAAAACTGGCTGGGACACCATGCAATTAAGTAACCACAACACTGGAATCAGAGAGAACCAGAATTTCCCATGTCTGCAGTTCCACAGAAAAGAGAAATGCTGTAGAAAATAGGATCTGTGTTCTTCAGGAGGCACTTGTCCCTTGTTTTGCTTCATTCCTGACTATATCTAAGAGAAATGCAACCAAACTGACAGCAATGACTGAAGAAATTCTGAAAAGAAAACACACAATTCTAGGAAGAAGATAACCTGTAAACTGGAAAATGATAGCTTTTCAATTACTGATGGAGAGGAAAACTAAATAAGGAGCAATGCCACATTTTCATCCCACTGGTCTGTGAAAGTTTGCATCACCTGAAGTGCACACCCTTCACTCATTCTGACAAAATTATGCTTTTTACTTTGAAAAACATCTCTCCTTTATGATAGGTAAAAGAATTAGAAACACGTAGAGGGTTGAGAAGAGAAAACACATTCCCCGGGAAGGTTTACATCCCTTTTTGCATATGGCCTTTGAAAAATCCCAGTTCCTGTACCTTCAGGAGGGGCTGGTTTGGTATAACTTCCACAATCTTGTATTTGCAGCAAGCCTTTCCCTGAACATTGCTGCTATTGTAGGCAATGAAAACCCTATAGACACTTACATGAAGATGTGGGATCCTGCTTCTATTGTTTTGACTCATGTAGATGGATGACTCACTGGGTCTAAAAAGGTACACAAGGAATTAGAGAAAAAGAATTACAACAGTGAGACCTGAAGGCCAGTGGGTACTACTAGACTAAAACATGGAAAGAATGGGAGCCTGACAGACACTGAGACCTCAGGAAAGTGGGGGAAAAGAAAGGACTGCCTCAACAAAGCAGCAGATGGTCAATTACTCAGGGAATTATGATGCATATGCAAAGATGGCTGCCCTGAGTCTGGAGTAAAGCATTCTACTACTCCTCAACACAGGAATGCTTGACTCTGCAACCTCAACTTTCCAACTTTTGTTGCTTCTTTGTTCAGGAGTTCCAGATGTGCAGTTGGAAAAAATATTATTTATTATTTAGGCATGAGAAATATATGCTTGCTTGTGGTTCTGCTGTATACAACATCTCAGCATCTTGAAAGCTACCAGGACATAAGAAGCCCAATTACAACAGGCAAAAAGAAACTAGTTCTCTTCTGAAGAAAGATTGGTGTTTGGTGAAGGACTGTTATCAATGATCTGCTGAGAGGCTAAAAAATGAGTAAAGCATAGTAAGGTCAGCTTCACCTCAGTGTTTGTGTGCTTGTCCGAGCAGACCCCATCACAGCCCACAAAGTGGGAAAGAAAATCAGACCATTGTAAAGATGCACTCTAGCATCTTCCACTTGGCAAGGCACAGCCTGAAATTTTAGAAGAGGCGAGGAAGAAAGGCTGCTGGGTTTTGTGCCGAGTCAGCATTGTTCCTTCAGCAATCTCTGCTCCCAGGCAGGAAGTTACACTCAGTGTGCAGATTCACCACCTTTTCTCTGAAGTCTGAACTCTTCTGGAGAAAAGGGGAAACAAGAATTAGGCACAAGGGTATCAAAAAACGTAGCAATGTGCAAAGAGACAAACCTTTACACACTATCTAATATTGCCATCAAGTCATTCCTCAGTTGCCCACAGGAATGCATGGGTGAGTCCATCCAGGTTCAACCAGATGCTTCCCTACAGAAGTCAAATAATTCATTTTCCAAAACCACTGGTATTAAAATCTCAGAGGAATTTTGTGTTAATTTAGCCTGCTATAACTTGACATAAGATTTCAACCCAAAATCCCCATGTACAGCACAATTGCATTTTCCAACTGAAAACATTTTTTTATTTAAAAGCCATGCTCTAAACCTCAGTAGAAACATTCTAGCCTAAAAAAAAAATGCCAGAGAGTGAGCAACCTTTCAATTTCTCTAGACAGGCTCAAAACACACTGAAAGAGGCACTTTCATGCTATATTTTCATGCTGCATAATCAACTTTTTTTTTTTTCTTCCATTTATCTAAACCGTCAAGATGAAACAAAAGAATTCTTGGCAGAATCAGAGGATTATGGATATGAATTATTAGTGATTAGTTAAAAATTTCCTTTGCTTTTCTACCCATCACTTACATTTCATCTTGTTTGTAAAAAAATTATTTTCCTTGTTTTTACAGCAAGAATATTTCAGCAAAGCAAGATCCCAATTCCTCTGTGAATGTATAGTCGTGCAACATAGAGCCTGAAACCTCCCCTAAGTAGTGGCATCCACTCAGGAGACAAAATAGGACATCCCAAGAGCAAGAGGGCTGTTCTAAGGCAACGGACCGATAGCAACAGGACCAGTAGCTGGTAGTGGAGAATGGTTGAAAGAATTGGTGATGAATCAGAATACATTAAATGACAAATTATATTGCAACCATATGATTATGAATAATTTTCAAAAAGATAGATTGCTTTTTTTCAGTCAAATAGAGTAACATGGATAATTTCCCCAGCCCAAAACTTTTCCCCATAAACTTTTTTATGTAGTCAAACACTTGTTAGGAACGTTGCAGATTACCAGCAGGAAAAGAGGACCTAATGCCAGATCACTAAATGATGTTTGGTAAAACCATTACACGACAACTCAGCCGAGGGAAAACAGAAACAACACGAAGGTGTGGAAAGAGAACATCAGTTTGGAAACTACTCCATTTTTCTTGAAATTGTATGATCAGTTTTGTCACAAGTATGACCAAAGGAATGACGATCTTAAAACCCTGGGACTGCACTCTGTATTCAGATGGTCTAATAAATGAATTGCCATCACTGAAAGGTATTAGCTGGGAACAAAAAGTTAAAACAAACAACCAAAACCACATCAAACCAGACAACCAAACCCAAACAAACAGTCTGTAGGTAAAAGCCTTCGATTTAATCTTATACTCATTAGATAGCATTTAAGGTGCTCGAGATTGGTTGTCTCTCTACATTGCATTCAAAAATTCCTTTTAGAGTTTCTGTATAAAGTCTCAGTGTTCATCTTCAGATTACTACATGGACCTGTAATGATTTCCAGTGCTGTAAATGCCACTGCTTCCATGTTTGCTCTTTTTAATGGGAAATTTACTTCAATCCCTAACATAATAAATCAGTCAGGAGGTTCCTGGCACATCAGCCACATCAGATGAAGAACCATGAGAAGGACTGCTCCTTGAAAAGACATGCTCAAACACCTGTACATTAAAAATTGAACCAGTAGTAGGAACAGAGGTAAGGAAATAACTGGGAGAAAGGGATCAGTGCCAGAGGACAAAAGGAGTTCCAGGATAAATTTCCCCAACTTACCTACATGTGTATGTAATTCAAGATTTTCACTAAATGACTCAGCTGACATCTTTTTCTTGGTTTTAAGAAGACAATCCCTGGACAGGTTCAGGAAAATATGGTCAATATATTACTTTATCACAACTTTGGATGGAATGTCTCCACAGCTGTATCACCTCCTTTTTAACTTTATCCTGTTACAGTGTCTTATATAGATAAGACTATAAAATGAAAAATTATTTTAAAAATCAAAGCTAGTTACTGTTTATTTCACAGAATAAAATCTGAAACCACAAAACCAAACTTTGCAAACCTTCGTATGCAAGTGAGAAATATGCCTATAGTTAAGTCTCTAGGAATACTTGAAGGATGGTAGAATTAGAGATGTTGGCTGAATAGCTTGGAGAATTTGTGCATTAGCATGCTTTGAAATAAATCTGGTGCAGAAACTTCAAATCTTGGGAGCCTTATCAAGTGGATCAATCTACATTTTACTTCCTTTATTGCATACATTTCTATTTTTCCACTTAATAATTAGTCAATATTATCTCTTTTCTTAAGACCGACACTCACCAGTGTGGGTCATCGAATCATGAGATCTGAAATCTTACACATTATATAAGGGTTACAAAATAAAGTAACTGCTGTATATACCATTACGCACACACTGAATCTGGCTACTACAGTATTTGCACACCAGAAAATAGTTTTGGCTTAATTCTAATTGCATATTTTTATTAACAGAAGGCACATTTTATTTTATTACATTACATTTTACATTGCATATTACACTACATTTCATTTTATTACATTACAGTGTCGCATGTTCATTACGTTCTATGTTGGTCACAAGATCCTTTGTGTCACTAGTTCCAGGAACTGCATCACTATTAAAATACAAATTGTTCTCAAAGCTGTCATTTGTTGACAAGCGATTCTTTCTTCTTTTGTAGAAGAAATAGCCTGCAAGGGCGCTTCCAACCAGGATGAGGATGACAACAATAACTAGAACTCCTGTTTTACCGTGGTTCAGAGTGGAAGCTTTTTCATCCTTTGTCATTGCTGAAACAAATACAAAGAAATCAAGAGGATGCTACATAATCTTTATCTAATTACTCACTGTAAAAAAATTCTTTAGAAAGTACAATGTTTTAAGCAAAAGTGTTCCATTTGTTTCAAAATAATGAGAGATAAAGGTAGCAAATAAAATAAATTTATTTTAAAATGCTAACATTCCATGCTATATCACAAATTAATTGTTTTTTTAAATCTGCATTTGACACTGAATGTAGTAGATTGTATTCTACTAAGAAATAATTGTATATATACTGTATTCTCCTAGGAAACAGATATGCTAATCAGGTATATCAGAAAATGTATTATTATTTCTGTTTATACATGGAACTAGTTTTTGTCTACTTGAAAGACAATATTCTTACCCTTTGTAGGCATTTCAGTTGGTGGCATTTCAGCTGCTGGTGGCATTTCAGTTGCTGGCATTTAAAAACATTGAAAAAGTACTGTTATTATATTATTATTTATATCTATATTATTTATTTCTATATGTAGAACATACTGCAAATCATATTAAGAAAAATATATGGTAATACATACTATTAAATACTGAAAACACTTAGGTTTAGTCCACACAAAGCTATATACATCTATCAAAAAGGCATAGCACAATGGTCTACTGCACTCTATTCTCATGTGTAGGTATATACACAAACTAGCAGAAAAGAAGAAACATCAAAGAGCTCCATGGAGATAGATCCTGACATCAGTGTAAACCCACAAGTAAATCTACACAGCATCTTCAGGACAGAGATGATCAAACATAATCTTCAAGATACTTACAAATCCTTGTGGTATTTGTTATCTTACATGAACATAGCAAGTGTAATAAACTTGGTTTGCCAAGAGACTTTAATGGCCTACCTACACAGACAATTGAAATCACTCATGAACTCCGAAGTGTCTTACCATGCATCACATCCAAACTAAAATGTTTATAGCTCATTTAAAGTTTAATTTCTGGACGACAAAAAGTGTGAAAACTGGGCAATCGTTTAAGATGAAGAACCATATTTTGCCATGTGGACATAAAATTAGTCTGTAACTAAATCTGGAATCAATGCATCATGTTTCATTTTGAAAAAGTGAGCCCAGGAAGTTAAATGATTTTACCAATCTCCCCGCATACACTGCCTGATTTCATTAATAATCCAACCATCCTGACTTCCAAAGATTTTCCAGAACCCTGCTGGACTCTCTGTTAGCCCAGTTGGTTTTACATCTAGAGGCAAATATTACTCTACAGATAGCTCTCCAAAGTAAAACTGGACGTGATTATTTGGATATTTCCAAGAGCTTCTATCAAGAAAAGTATCTATTAATGCTGTTTACAATAGAAAGTATGTTGCTTGTCTGCACTATACAAGCAAATCTATGGAAAACTGGCACACTGGGAGCTTTCTACAATTACAGGTTTTTGAAGTGCTTGCTGGAGGCATTGCATGTTTGCTACATTACATGTCATAACCAGATCTGGTCTTCCCAGTACGGAAGCGAGAGAGAGCTACTGGAGGCAGTCCAGTGAAGGGCCGCTAAGATGATGAAGGGACTGGAACATCTCTTATATGAGGAAAGGCTGAAAGAGCTGGAACCATTTAACCTGGAGAAGAGAAGGCTCAGGGGGGATCTTATAATGTACACAATTATCTGAAAGGAGGGTGCAAAGACAATGCAGCCCAGGCTCTTCTCAGTGGTGCCCTGTGACAGAGCCAGAGGCAATGAGCACCAACTGAAACAAGACATTCCCTCTGAACACCAGGAAACACTTTTTCACTGTGAGGATGACCAAGCACTAGCACAGGCTGCCCAGGGAGGTTGTGGAACCTCCATCCTTGGAGATATTCAAAAGCTGTCTGGACATGGTCCTGGGCAATGGCTCTAGGTAGCCCTGCTTGAGGGTTGGACCAGACGACCTCCAGAGGTTCTTTCTAAGCTCAACCATTCTGTGATTCTGTGAAGATAATTCTACCTTAAGTCCAAAAGCACAGTGTAAAAAACAGTCTTAGAAATGTAACAAGGAATAGGAGGAAATAATTTACATTATGCAAATTTGGAAAATAATTTTTTTGAATATAATAACCTCGACACTTTTTCCTTGTTTCTCATCAAAAAATGTTGATTGACCAAGTATAACACGAATCATGCATATTATGTACATGACTGTTGGCTTTTGGTATGAGATGCTAAACCTTCCCACAAGCAGCTAAACATGCAGTATATTTAGCAATATGAATCTGTTATTCCTGAAATGTGAGAGTGAGAAGCCATGAACATAATATACAGAGTCACTATTTGTAGCATAATCAACTAACACCTGTTGAACTGCTGAACAGTTCTTCAGAGTACCTCTTTACTTAAGAAATAAAGTTAGATTATTTATGGAGTAGACCCACTACAGAATTTCAAATTACTAAGGTAAAAATTACCTCAAAAATTGAACAGAAAATAGAATTTATTCTACGGGAAGACTTCAGTCACAGGTTTGCATTTGCAGCCTCTTCAGAAAACAGCAAACATAAGAAGCCATAGCAAGTGCAACTAAGTAAAATAATGCTTCTAACACCCCATTTATTAGCCTACAGCTATTTAATACATTTTTTCAATTCTGCAAATGGAACATTATCACAGATTTGCAAAACTGTGCTGAGCCAAGCTGCATTTTTATGACAGTACAGGATTCAACCGTGTCCTGCTCCTGAGTGAGCAACTATATCATCCTTGCATTGACACTGGCATTTGGCTGACTCCATGGCTCAGGAGGCTAGACTGGCTGAAGCTAACCCTAAAAAGAATAACGAGCTTTCATCTGCTTCAGCTCCTGGAAATGTCTCAGTATCAAAAAAGGTGAATGCCAGTACCAGCACAAACAGATGAGTTGAATGGTGAAAAAGGAAAGGCGGTCACTGATTTTCATACTTGTTACCTACATCAATGACTACTTTGGATAGAGGATGAAAATTAAGTGTCTTTTTGTTTGACAATTCAGTCTCTGAATGGGTGGCTATATCTGTCAGTTCTGCAGTATTTCCTGTAGAAGATACAGTCATCATTACAAGCATCTGAGTAAGAATAGTTTTGCATGAGAACAAATTTATACAAAGGATAGCAACATTTCTCTCATTTCCAGTCTTATAGAGGAAGTGGGCATATTTCAGCTACTACATGCATTTCACTCTTCTCAGTAAACTTAGTAAGAGATTTTGATCTTGCAATACATGCTGGAAGAAATTATTAAGATGACTTGTAGGAACACATATGCACTACTGCCAAATTTGCAATTTCAATTATTTCAGAACACTTCCAGTTTAGCACGTTCAGACTATGCTATTTGCTTTGCTTTTCATTCATTCATCTTCTCAAAACAGGAGAACACAGAAACAAAAAGTCCAAAATTGTTAATTAATTCACAAATCATAAATACTCAATTCACAGAAACACTACTTCATACTCAGAAAATGCACGTACATGAAACTTCCAGAGGGAAATAAGCAAAGGGCATTCCTCAGGCTGAGCAGAGGGAACATATTTTCAATTAGATGAGATAAATTTGTATGTGCAGCTAAAATGCACTGTGTGTAACAGCCATCTACTAATACTAGCACACAAGAAGCATACTCCATATATATAACAAATTAATAAAGGTAGCACTTACTTTTTGGCTTTTTACAAACATAGCCTTTGTAGGAAGAGCAATAGATATTATTCCAGTAGCCAGAGTTTGCATACATTTCAACACAGTGCTCGTTTTGTTGAGGGGAAGGTTCTCCTACATTCCAGTTGACAAAATTCACTACAGTGTTGTCTAGCCACAGCCATTCTCCTAATTGGAAAAACAAGACAGCATTAATTTTCATCTTTACAGCTGCTCCACATTTTTTGCCTTCCTGAGAAATCTACTTGTGGTCACTCTTGGAGACAGGCCACTAGACTATTTAGATTTTTGGTCCGACACATCATGTTGCCCTTAAGTTTTTATGCAAATGATACAACATCAATTTTTGGAAAATGGCAGACCAGTCTGGCTTATGATGTTATAAAGGCAAGAAAGTTTAAAGAAGTACTTCCCACAATTTATTGCAATGATGCAGTGTCAATTATTTATTCAGTTTATAGACATTACTGTTGTCAAAAGATAATTTATCACAGCTAAACTGAGGAAGTGTGGTCTGGATGATGGGGTAGTGAGGTGGATTGTGAACTGGTTGAAAGGAAGAAGTCAGAGAGTTGTAGTCAATGGGACAGAGTCCAGTTAGAGGCCTGTGTCTATTTGGTTGATACTGGCACCAGTACTACTCAATATATTCATCAGTGACCTGGATGAGGGAACAGAGTGCACTGTCAGCAAGTTTGCTGATGACACAAAGCTGGGAGGAGTGGCTGACACACCAGAAGGCTGTGCTGCCATTCAGCGAGACTTAGACAGGGTGGAGAGCTGGGCAGGAAGAAATGTAATGAAATACAATAAGGGCAAGTGTAGGGTCTTGCATCTGGGAAAGAACAACCCCGTGCACCAGTACAGGCTGGGGACAGACCTGTTGGAGAGCAGCACAGGGGAAATAGACCTTGGGGTCCTCATGGACAGCAGGATGACCATGAGCCAGCACTGTGCCCTTGTGGCCAGGAAGGCCAATGGCATCCTGGGGTGCATTAGAAGGGGTGTGGTTAGTAGGTCGAGAGAGGTTCTCCTCCCCCTCTACTCTGCCCTGGTGAGGCCACATCTGGAATATTGTGTCCAGTTCTGGGCCCCACAGTTCAAGAGAGAGGGAACTGCTTGAGAGAGTCCAGCACAGAGCCACCAAGGTGATTAAGGGAGTGGAGCATCTCCCTTATGAGGAAAGGCTGAGGGAGCTGGGTCTCTTTAGTTTGGAGAAGAGGAGACTGAGGGGTGACCTCATTAATGTTTATAAATATGTAAAGGGTGAATGTCAGGAGGATGAAGCCCGGCTCTTCTCAGTGATGCCCAATGGTAGGACAAGGGACAATGGGTGCAAGCTGGAGCATAGGAGGTTCCACTTAAACTTGAGAAAAAACTTCTTTACAGTGAGAGTGACAGGACACTGGAACAGGCTGCCCAGGGAGGTTGTGGAGTCTCCTTCTCTGGAGACATTCAAAACCCACCTGGACACATTCCTGTGTGACCTACTGTAGGTGATCCTGCTCTGGCAGGGGGTTGGACTAAATGATCTTTCAAGGTCCTTTCCAATCCCTAACATTCTGTGATTCTGTGATTTTCAACAGAATGCCCTTTATTTCAGTAATTTGTAGGGAGGTTTTGCATTACTCTTCAAAACCCCCACTGAAGTCTTTTTAAGTCCAATTTTCTTCCACTTGTTTTTCAGTTTCTGCTCCTTCCCACTGACTTTATACACACAATTTGCCTTTTTAAAGATCTGCTTCAAAAATCTTGTGATCACTGTTGTTCATCTATGCTGGGACTTTCTGTCTCTTCCTTCCTGTTCCTTTTTTTCTTTCTTTCTTTAAATAGTGTTATTTATTTAGAACAAACGTGCCCCTTGTGACTCTTAAGTTGTACTCAAACAAGCAAATTCCTAGACTCAGCATGAAAGCTATGTGTTGTTTTCTTATAAGATTCTACACATTTTGCCTTTTTTTTTTCTAAATGCCTGCCATCCTTTGTGCCAGGGCATGGCATCTGGATACAATTGCTTTTCCAAAGACATGAAATTTAATTATGCAACCATGCTGAAATCACTGTAATCACTATCTAATAGTACAATGACATGTATTTGCTGAAGCAGCTCTTGTGTTTATGATCAGAGTAAGAACTGTATTGTTCTGCACCTGCTCTAGAACCACTTTAAAAAACATTTGATGTGTCAATAACCACATGAGTAAACCTCAACAACTTTTCTTTATGTGCTATGCTTATAAATCGTTCTTTACATTCTTTCCTTCTCTACTGAAAACTTCCCCGTTTCCTGGTTAAGATTCAAGTAATGTAAGTGAATACTTGTCTTCTCCCCAAATGGTTTGTCATTGAAGTGGTTGAGCAAGCAGTTGTAAAAAACCCCTCCAAAACTCAAGAAAACCCCACGCCAAGTCACCTGAACCATTCTGCAGTCCTGCCTCTGACATTGTTATACTGGAGCTTTTAGTCTGAACAGCACAAGCATGAATTAACTTTTAGGTCAATCATAAAGACAGAAATATCTATTTAATTGAACACTAACTGAATTAATGAAAAAACAATAATCAGCAAATTTAAGATTTAATTAAAGCAGCCTATTGCCTGTGTCTTTTACCTTACCTTCCTTATAGTGAGGCAGAAAATAGTAAAACTTGTGATACACAATTCCAAAGATACAACAATTCCAGGTTCAAAGTGAAGCTGTTCTGAGGGCCAGCTGTAACTTAAGATGGGTGACTGGTCATTCCAGGATGGTGATTCCTAAGACTAGAGGTGATGTTTGCCACAGTATTCTCTAGCTCAAAATCTGCAGTATCTCCATGACAAGATATGAGAAGAACCATTTGACTTTGGCTCAACAACCAACGCGGTCCTGTCTGTACTGCGCTACATGCACCTTTGTGCCTTACTTTGTTGTGAATTACTTTTCTTGCTTTAAGACGAACTCTCTGTGCCTGATCTTTCTGTTATACATTACTGGTTATTGCTTGATTACAGCTGACCAGTTTCCCTCATCAATTACCTTTTCTAATTTCACTTTTTGTGTATTACAGTAGTATACTGCGGTATTTTCAACACCCGTGTCAAACAGCTTGTGACAATTATTCACCAAACAAAAAGATGCCAAAACTAAAGAAATTACCATCCACATTTCTGTACATTCCTGTCCAAAAAGTTGATGTTTTCCCTTCAAGTGGTTCAATGGTGTTTGCCAGAAAGTTGGCTTCAGCTGAGTCTTCAATCGATACCAAAGAAGCACCTGGAAGACACAGAGGAAAAAAAATCTCTTAGAGACATAAGTTTCACAGTGGAAAGCATTCTCATTGTCCTGTAAAATGCCAGTCTTATTTTTACTACTGATTATCTGTGCCAAATTCCAAACTGAATTTGAAGTTCAAAACAGAAACTAACTTTGGGCATTATCTTATGAAAGACTCTGGCATTGTTACCGATGTATTTCTTATCATATCCATGACCTTGCACTAGCATTTTGTTTGCTTCATCCACTGGGAAATAACAACATAACTGAACAGCAACTCTAGGCAAACTACAAAAGGCCAATATGGTATCGAGCATTAATGTCTACTGATGTGTTACTAATGCAAAAAAAACCCCACTCTAAACAAAATTAAAAGTTTTTAGTACAATGTATGTATAACTTCAGTCTGCACACCACATAACTGATTAAATTTTCTGAACCTTTGTATAGCCCATGTATAGCACAGACTTTGCTGACTTTCTGAAGCACAGTCCTTAGTGTAACTCTTTAATCAGGTCTTGTTTATTTTCCTACATTCTTTTTGTAGCCATTAGAGAAAGAAAGATAATTTTGGTCATATGTTGCCCAGTTAGTGTAGTAACCTGTTAGTCTTCGGGGAGATCTTATAGCGGCCTTCCAATACCTGAAGGGGGCCTACAAGAAAGCTGGGGAGGGACTTTTCATAAGGGCAACTAATGACAAAACAAGGCGAAATGGGTTTAAACTGAAAGAGGGGAGGTTTAGATTAGATATTAGGAAGAAGTTTTTCACTGTGAGGGTGGTGAGACACTGGAACAGGTTGCCCAAGGAAGTTGTGGATGCCCCCTCCCTGGAAGTGTTTAAGGCCAGGCTGGATGAGGCTTTGAGCAACCTGTTCTAGTGGGAGGTCTCCCTGCTGATGGCAGGGGGGTTGGAACTAGATGATCTTTAAGGTCCCTTCCAACCCAGACCATTCTATGATTCTATGATATAACACCAGGCATTCTGCCATAATGATTCATTCTGTATGATGCTCTAGCAAAGTAAAGAAGTCACAGCATGGAACCAGCAGACAATCAGCTACAGGACTTTGTATGGAGTGGCATTAAATACTGGAGAAAGTGCATTTTCAGTTCTCTTTAGTGTGGGGCTGTAATCCAGTCGACAAGCATGAAGCAATAGCTGTGTTTGGCACTTGACTGTTTTGATTTGGCTTGTTGAATTTTTGAAGGTATTGTTTTCCTCAGGGAAGGAAGACACAATTACAGAGAATTAAAATATAAAAATCATTTGAATCACTGCTGAGCTACAGATAAATTCTACTATGGTTCAGAATTCTACTGTGGGTAAGATATAATTGGAAAATGTCCAACTGCAAACAAAACCCAGAGTGCAAGCAGGGACAGCAGCATACAAGAGAACATGGAACGTTCCTTTTTTCACTGTAGTCTTCATGTTTTTCTAATTGTTCCTCTTTTGCTGAATGGTATCATCAGATGTTTGGTTTCTGTTAGATTGTGTGATAAAAAAGCTTCACTGCACATCCACAAGGGAGCACAGAAGGACAATGGAAGATGGGGGACCCCTTCCCCAGCTACTCCCAGGAATCATCAGCCCATCAAAGGCCAATGTCCACAAGCCCAGAGGACCAAAGAGGCACAATGGCAAGGGAAGAACACAAATTATGGACTCAGAGGATGGGACCTCCTTCTCAGACCCCTCCCCTAGGGCTGTCACAGAACACCCTCAGCCCTAGTGTCCAGGTGTGAAACCCATCAAGACAAGTCAACATAAGAGTACCTTTCAGAATGAGGGGAGTTACCTAGGGGTACGGGACACATGATGGGATAGAGAAAAACATTTCAAGATTGGGCAAGACTTATTAAAATGTTCAGAGGAGTAACCAAAGGCAGGGAAAGGGATGGACCTAGATTATTTGGGAAGAACAAGCATGGGAAAATAGAAGGATAAGGGGATAAAAAGACTGGTCATGTGTAAACAGGTTGCTGGTCAGTACGGTTGTGTGGCACACCTGGTGCCTGATCTGGGCAGGCAGCTCTGTCTTCTTATTAAACTCTATTTCTAACTATTTTTCATGAGTGACTCTTCACTCTGTATGCACGTGTGTGCATGGACATCTAAGTACCAGCAACTGGAGTGGGACCATGAGTCAGAGACCCTTGTGTCCATGGTGCCAGCAACTGGAGCTAGTGAGTGGGTTATCTCTAGGGAATACCAAGTCAGCCTAGCCAACAAGTAGGTGAGCTAGGTGTGCATGTGCATCACCAAGGGTGAGACCACAAGCTAAGCCAGCTACCAGAGGGACCAGGAGGAGAACCAGCCAGCTGATGGAGGGGCCAAAAGGGCTGCAGGTCTCTAAGGATGAGACCCACTGGTGTGAGTGCATTTCTAAGGGTGAGATCAAGGAGGGAATGGGTACTGGGGTCCAGGGGAGTTCCAGCTAGCTCTGTATGCATGTGTGCCCCCAAGTGTCTCTACAGGCAAGATCAGCATGTGAGAGTGGTAGGGACAGGGTCTGTACCAGCATCAGCAGCCAGGCTGGTGCCATGGGGGCTCATATGTCCAAGTCCCAGCAACTGAAGACATTGAGATCCATGGGCCAGCTACTGGGCAAACTGAGTGCCTGAGCCCAGCTGCTGGATTGTATTTCTGTATATATTCCCACTAACAGACCTTCATCCTGATCAACTGGAGAAAGGAATACAATAGGGGTGTTGGTGCAGATTGTGTTCATGTGAGCGTGCTGTGCATCTGTGTGCTGATCTATGTGGCCAGCCATGAATATACGTATAGATGTGCTGTATATGTGTGTGTCCACCTACAGGGAACACATTCTCAGCCTTGTCACTGGTTGGACTTGGGAGCATAGAGCCATGGCAACTTCGCTTCTGCTGGGCTGCTGGATTCAGCCTGCCCTAACAATTACCATGCAAGATTAAGGGTAGCATTGAAGGGAAGGGGATGTCAGTGACTTGAAATCTTAAGTATACTAGCATACAAATTTTAAATTCCACATAATGCCAGTCTTTTACCACACACACTGAAACGTCGGTGCCTTTCTTCCATGCCTTTAGTTCAACAGGAAAAGGTAATTCTGATGTAATTGCAGATTCCAACAACAAAGATGTATCAGTGGAGACCTCGTCAACCCAGTCAGTGGCATTCAGGGTGCAATTCACCTGACCAAATGTCAATTCAAGTGAAGACAAATCTGTATTCAGTTCCACTGGCAGCATGAGCAAGATCTCTGTATACTCCAATAGGAGGTTAGACACCTAAGTAGGATTGCCACCAATGCTATAGACATATGAAGTATGGCTTAATGAATCTTACATTGCTTTCCTAGAGAAGGAAGTTGCAAGATTGAAACAACACAACAACCCTAGTTTACTGATACATTATCCAGCCTAGAGAGCTATAAGTTTCATTCCAGTGGCATAAAACTGCAATAATCAAATGGCAGATTAGATCAGGAATACAAAATATATAAAATGCCATTAAAATAAGATTTAGTGACTGCTGTGGATGAGGCTGACTACCTCCTACCAAGGTCAAAGGACAAAGTTTCCACTTTTGTGTTCTCTACTCCAGGCCACATAGCTCCTCCAATGCCTGCTCCCACATACATGTCTGCAGTATGCCACTGGTAGGCAGCTATTTTCCATCTCCTCCCAAATTAAGGCAATAACTGGATGCAATTGTCTTGTCCAACATCTGTACCATCCTTGAAATCACAAAAATACATAGCACATGTTCAGCTTTCCACAGAGAGGAAAAAAAAGTCAGAAAAATGTTGTCTTTGATTAAGGAGCATATCTACCTAGTCGAAGACATTCTAAAGATGCCTGGGCCCAGTTTCTAGTAGATGAAGATTCAATGTAATAGCAATGACCTCGGAAAGGGATCCAAGACTTGTGTCCTTCTGATTCAGGGCACTTTCCTGGAAGCTGAGGGGGCTCGGTGGGAGCTTGAACTGTTTAAACAAAAATTTACATAAGAAAGGACAAAATTTAAAGAAACAGCTTCTTATACCTTATTTTATCATTAATAGATTATTCTAAGTGAATGTTGGCAAACTCACTCAGGTCTTCAAAAAAATGTAATCTTGGCAGCCTCTATTGCCTACTACAACACAATAGTGGGAAAAAGTCCTAAATCTATGAATAAAAAGTACTGCAACTGTAGTTTCAAGATATCTAACTTAGCAAAGAATCACAGCATACTTCTATCTTTTAACATATTCTTAAGTTCAGGTCAACAAAGTCCTCACAAACCTATTTGCACACCTGACTGCTTTGCTGAATTAGGGTCCATATCAACTTGATCATATGGGTTGTGATCTAAAATCACAGAATGCAAAAGTATTATCACATGATAATAACAGGAGTTTCAGGTCAAAAACATAAGAGAAGGTGGTCTGAAGAAGTATCTTCAAATATTTGTATAACACCTGTAGTTAGTTATTTAGTTATAAGTAAATACTCCTCGTGACACCTTATGGTTTGGTCATTCAGCTCTTCCCCCTTCAACACTATACCTGTGCGAGTACTACCTAGCATTCATTACCTTTTGATTTTTGAGGGTTTGGTCTTGCATATTTACTCAGTATCAGAATAAATAGCAGAGTAACGTGAGTCTAAGCTTTGCAAAATGATCTAACATTATTAATGTAAAGTGATGGCTATTCACAGTCACACTGTCTCTTTCTTAGTATATGTTGGCCCTCATTTTAAAACAGCCCCATTCAACCCAAGTGAATTATAATGATTTAATCTATTTAGCTTTTGAAATAAAAGATGTAAATATATATCAGCAGACCAGCTAGTACAATGAACTCTAAAGAGATAATAATTTTAATTATAATGGTTAGATTTAAGTTCTTACCATCAGGTTTTTTGCAAACAGAAAAGTAACTTTCATTGCAGGATCCTGTCTTCCAGGCTCCAGCAATGTCTAGATAGCCACAGCCTATTTTCTGCTTTGGCTCCCCTTCCGCCCATTTAGTATACTTCATTCTCCAGTTATCAATCCATTCATAACGCCCATTGGTCTAAGAACAAAACAAATCAACAAGAATGAATAAACTCTAAGCATTAACCATTCCTTTGTCTGTCAAATTTCTGTGTATGTAGCACCTTGTGCTAGAAGGTTTTGGGTTTTTTTAGAAATCAATAACAAATACAAATGGCTCAAACTTTTAAATTTATGTTGTGACAAGCCGCTATTCATTAAAAAATACACCAGTGCAAGAAAAGTTTTCAGCAAATGGAAATGCAGAGTAAGTGACATTGAATTAATTTTGCAATTAAAAAAATTGTTAATTTGGGACTAATAAAAAATTTATTTAAAATAATTTGTAGGAGGGAAAGTATGGTAACTAATTTTTGTACTATATATTTCTCCCTAAATTTCAAGAAGTGTAGATTATTTTAACTTAAATTATATTTTAAAACTTAGTAATTTCCCACCAAAACTGGTGAACTCAGTGAATCATCCTGTTGATTAGGTTAGGGGACTCTCTTGGTTTTTAGGAACTGGTGTGTTATGTTCACTCCTTTGTATTTCTTTCATGTGCTCAGCCAAATGAAGCAAATGTTTGAAAAGTGTCTGTGCCAACAAGAAAGGGTGGTGTTTTTTAACATCCAGGAAGTATCAAAATATCAAAGAACTGGGAGAAGGAAGACAAATAAAATTAAATTAGGTAAACCAATCAATTATTTGGCTAGCTATCCTCAAAAATGTTGAAAGCGTCATAGCAACAGCGCCTTATTCTATTTCTGAAAATTAGGTATTGTCATTTAGAATAAATGCTTACTACTGTACACCTTAAGGTATGTGGATTTTATCTCAAATACACCATATATACAGAGATGTTTCAAGATGCTAGCCTAAAATGTCTTTTTGAAAGTGCACAGAGTATAATATCATTAAAGACTTGTGAAAAACATGTAATATATACAATTTAATCAGAGTGATGGAAGAGGATAGATTCCTACCTGTATATCTGACAGCACATAAAAATATTAAGGACCAAAATATAAACTAATAAGCTAAAGAGACATAATAATACTTTTCAGTTCCTGATTTGTCCATAAAATAAGCAGCATAATGTTCAATTAGTTTGATGTTCTTACCACATTACTGTTAAGACCAATCCATATAGGCACCCCATACTTTAATATCTTTAGCCACAGGAATGAATGACTGTAGGGGTCTAAGATGCTGGAAAGCTCAAACTGATCATGTTTGCAATTTTTTCGTGCATCCTCCCATTTCATTTTGGTGTGGATGAACAAATAACTACTGTTACCATAACGGATAATGCTGGATGGGGATGAACTTGTGGAAGGCTGAAACTCTGCATCTGTAAAATAAAGGATGAAAAAAGACATATACTTGTTCAAAAGGGGATTATGATTTCACTGTGGTTGCAAATAGAATTAAACAAAAAGCCTTTTTTCTTAATTTAATATTCCCTGACTTTTGATCAGCATGGGTTAGAAGCACTATTCTTTAAGCTAGGATCAGTAGTAAAAATCAATTACAAAGCTGTAGAAAGGAAGAGCTGCTTAAAGCAATCTCTGACAAGAGGTAAAGGAGCATTCTGAATAATCCTCCAGAATAGTATTACTGAAATGAATTAGGATTAGATTAGGTCACAATTTCTTTAATAAAATAGTTTTTCATCAAAACAAATGCTTTGCAGAGACTGTGTTGTTTTCCAGGGATTTTTTTTGTCAGAGAAAAAGAAAACCCCACAACAGGTCAGTCCTTAAAAATCAATCAGATATTTAAATCCAGGTTTTCACTACTTTTAAATTTTCTTTTTGGAGGTGAATTAGCTCAAGTTTGGTGCAGGTGAGTTACAGCTGCACTCCAGACAGTTCATCCTACATGTACACGGCAGCCTTTTCCAGAACATGTTCTGAAAGCCAATGTGTTCAGAAAATTACAGACAAAATCATGGAACAAATATAATGTCAAGGGTCATACTAAACACAAAGTTGCAGACAAAAATTCCAGCTCAGGAAGGTAGCAACATAGCAGTTACTGGGAAGGGTCAGCTGCGAGTAGTGACTCTAACTGGACCTCTGACACATATGGCCTTTGTGTTCATGCCTGAAAAACAATTTGTGGATGTATCTTCATTGGAAGCCAAATGACATTGAAATCTACGCACTCAAGCAATTCTCTGAAAAACCACAAGGTTTGAATGTATTTTAACTAAAAACACAAGTACCTGCATTAATTTGGCATATATATCCTCTGTTGTTATCACAACTCTCATCGGCCCACTTCCCTGCTTCCTTAACAGGACTGTTTCTCATGACAACACAATCAGCCTGGAAGCAAAAAGATATAAAATCAGTTACAAATAGCTAGAAGAAGCAAATACAAAACTTTCATCCCTCTTTTACATCTTCAGACACAAATAATGCTGTACTTTTAGTCTCATATCCTTGTAATATTAAACAGCATAAGTTTTATGATGTGGAGGCTCACTTCCTCTTGCACGTCACAAATTTCTTAAAGTTGCTCTCTCTTGCGCAACATCTCGGTGGATAAGCATACCAGAGAAATTTCCGGTATTCTTGTACCTCCAGGCATTCATCATGGAGAGAAGAAAAGCCACAGAGAATTTAAAGAGAAGTGAAATCAACTATTGTAGAAAAGATCAGTTAACTTTGCCCCAGAAAAAAACCTGGACCCTCAATGGGCAATGTAACATTTCTGACATATAAATCTCTTCAAAGGTATTGTTGCAAGCTGTAATACTACACACAGTAAAATTACAACTGCTTCTACCCAAAGTCATTGATCTGTCAGTACCTCACTTCAGTGACATTTCAACTTCTCTGACTGGGACATGCTGGCTAGAACCTATGTTGGCACATATTAAACAGTGATGAATGCGAAAGGTTGCATGTGTACAAATGGTTTTGTATGATGAAGCATCCATACTTATTTGATTCTATTTACTTCTTTGGTTTTGCTGTCCAGGAGATGTACAGAGAAACACTTCATTTGTGGGTGAAATGCATTAAGATTTAAATCTTTCAAACTGAATAGTTGCATAGTATTTTGCATTAACTATGATAACTCATTTTTTGCTAAGGTCAAGTAACCTTAAAAAACAAATTTGAAATTTATAAAATAGGGTTTTTATAAGTTTTCACAGAAGACTCTGTAGTCTTCAAGTAAGTCTTTCTACAAAAACCTACTACTTTTCATAAAAAATATATATAGTTCCTCCCAGAAGTAACATTTTAAAGATGCTTTCTCTTTTGAACTCTGAATTCTCCCAAATTTTTTCCCTCCATTAGAGATGAGAAGTTCAGAGATGCTACTTTCAAAAACAGGAAAAGGGACCTTATACATAAAAATAAGATTTCTACATTAAAAATGGCATGCAAGAGAAACAGAGCTACTACTACAATGTGCTGTAGTTCCACAGCACAGAACCGTCTAAACACATAAGATCAGAGAGAGGAGCTCTATGACCTATCAGATAAGTTTGTATGACAGAAAAATAGGGGAAGTCATGATTTTCTTTTTTTCTTTTTTCTTTTTCTTTTTTTTGTTTTTTTGTAAAACTGAAAGGCTGTCATTTTATAGAAGCATGTCCTTTCCACAAATGTGACTGACAGAACTTGCTTCTATGTAAGACATGGCGGTTTGAGGGGAACGTTTGTAAGTGCTCCTTGCAAGCTACATGCCAACTGACAAACCTGCTAAGTTCAGGCACAACTGTGGTCAGAGGACTAGGAGGATGTACGTGCTCATTCAGTGTGTTTTTGGGGCAAATGCCATGAGGGAATCACACTGTCCTTTTTAGAAGAAGAGTCTAGGAGAGAAAGCAAGGTGAACACAAGAAGCAGCGTGGCCTTCACAGACACAAGAGAACTGAAATCTGAAACCTGTCTTTGTATGAGCACTCCACAGATTCTGTCACCAGCTAATACAGCAACTGCCCAAGGGCTCAAAGCCATTCACTCTATTTGGATTTCTATTTGACATGTATAAAAGTATAAAAGTAATAAGTAAAGCAGTACATGTCTCAAATCCCAAGGAATTTGTATATGCAATCTAAAATCAAATTTCAGTGAACAATTTGTGACTGCTATTTACCTGGCCATTATATGAGTATAAATCCATATGTCCTGATGGGAAGCCTTTGGCCCAGTTTGTAAAGTAAACTCCTGTTCCATCTGTCCACAGGAACCTCAGTTCATGGTTTATATCATTTAATCCAATCCATGTATCAGTAACAAAATCTTTCATATGGAAGGTGAGGAAAGCTAGAGTAAAAAAAGGCAAAGAAAAAGATAAATACCTTTAATGAAGGGCAATTGAAATGTCTGGCCTCATTGAGACTGGTGATAACTAAATATTTTTTTCTGAAATACAGAACATTTCATTGGTGACAACACAAGCAGGTAAGATGAAAAGGAGGTGACTTGAGTTTAATGAACAGGGAACCAGATATGTAACTGTGGCTTTGGTCAAAATACTTCAGCTAAGTATCTAACTGGATACTGGGATCAATTACAAAAGCATGACAGAAATGTTTTTCATAATGTCTCAAGACATTTTTGAATCTTAGTTCTACAACTGACTTAAAAATACACATCTGTGTAGATCACATACACTTTTGATAATCCCACCAGAGTGGCTACCCACCAATGGCATCATACAGACAGCACCATTAAGCACCTACAACTTGTGCATCTGCACAAGTAGTGCTGTTATAGAACCATGAGAGTGTTTCTTCTCCCCCTGGAATACCTGGGCAATAGCCTGCACAGTCTTAGCAAGGAGCAGAATGCACAAGCGACAGGCTTAAAATGACTCTCAACAGAACTATTCATCACAACCAAATCAATTACTACAGCTTTGCACAGTTGAGGAAGGTACTTGTGTGTCTTAGCTAGCATGACTAGCTCACAAATAGAGCAGGCTAGGTCAGCTGCCATTCATCAACCCACTAATCCACAATACATCAAACACTGTGATAAAATGAACATATCATGGCTTTTGCCAACTGCTACAGTCATTGTTATGAGCTTACTTTTCTCTGTAAACTGCAGATGAATTTCTGTCTGCTTTATCAACTGCTAACCTTCCTTTAGTCTTTTAAAATGAACACAATTTACACTTTCAGAAATGAAACCTGTAGATTTATTTGCCAAATGTTAATATTGCTATTCTGCCAGAAACTGTAACAGGAACTCAAGCCTTTATGCCTCCGTTGCCAGTAATAATAAAAGTTTTATGCTAATAGCTTTATTGTTCATTTATCTTTTACCTAGAATTCAAGTCCTGTGCATGAACCACCTGAAATCTGTAGTGCAGAAATAATGTTGGATAGAAATTTAACTATATTTGAAAAGTGAAAATGTGATTCTTCATCTTTTCACATGTGGGAAACATAAGTAGTACTAAGCTCATGTCAGCAGTCTAGATTTAAACCATTTAATTGCTCAGACTACAACACTGACTTATTTTACAATGCTTGATTTTTCAGCATGCTCTTTTGAGTTCACAAACAGCATGTGTTGTGCAACATCTGCTTCTCATCACTGTAGTATGAAAGAGTATTTCTAAAAAAAAAAGGATGTTATTAACATCTATCAAAGTCTTCCCCAATTTTTAATTTGAATATGTGCCATGTTTATTTAAGCATGAGGTAATTTCCCTCTGCTCATCTCCCCCAGTCAGGGATGCAGCTCTTAGGTTCATTAAAATAAGTTCCTCTAGTGAAAGGAATAGTACAACTATGTGGTGAGTTGTGGGCAGGCATATGAGCAGTCAAACCTCTGCCTCAAGCTGCCCAAAGACAGCAAGTTCTGATCCTAAAGGTGTTCTGCTTGAGTTAATAGGAAAGCCATGCAGTGAGTTAATGCCACCTAGTGAAACTACATCCTTTGGAACTGAATTTGCTAGCATCATGTGTAAGCAGAAGAAGCACTACTTTGATTGCCAGTGCAATATACATGTAAATATGTATCTTAACCAACATTAAAATTTGGTAGATGTAGATTCAGGTGAAGACTTCATTATAAATTTCAAAAAATTGTATGTTTTGGAACAAAAATCAGATGTGCACTCAATATTCAAATCCTGTCCACATTCACACAACTACAACAGCCACCCCGTAAAGATTAAATGTCAACTCACATAGTTGCTACAGATCTATACACAGTACCTTGCACTTGTTCATTAGCGATAGTGGCCAGGTTTCCTCCTAAATTCATGCAAGCTGTTCGTGCAGCATGCCAAGTGACACGTTCATCTTCTGTAGATCCAAATATTTTGTAACACTAAAACATGAACAAATTCTCTATATATTATCTTTACTCCAATATCCCTCACAGATTGAAAACCACTGCTTTAAGCAAAGCAGGATGGAGAAAAGGCAGTAAAATAATGAATTTATTTGAAAAAAACACATTCAGCTTAACATGAGCTTTTTGTGCTGGTCCTTGTTCTATATAAAATTGAAGGTCTCAAGAAAATGTTTTGCTTAACAAGGCGCGTACTAAATTTGATCTGAAATCCCTAGAAAATAAGTAAAAACTGACTTTCTATAGACAGTTAGCTAACAGCAGTAAGTTATGCATGACTGATATTAGTCTGCCTGGTTTTTTATTTGATTCTACAAAGCACACCATGTTAGTAAATTTAAGGAAGACAAAATGCATTCAGTACCAAAAAAGCATTATAGTTTGGTTAAAAAACATCAAGATTAAAGCACAAATACTTCAGGAACTCTGTCTAAACTCTTTAGGATATGCATATCAAAAGGTTTTAAGACTAGAACGTCTTTCATCAACTGCACCGAATATGCTTATCTGCCACTTCATTAGAAGCATCAAAAAAGCACCTTTCCTGCAAAACAGTGGATGGGCAAACAAAGAAAAGCATGCAGGCATCAACCAGCTCTCTGAAAAAAATAGTATAAGAAACAATGGTATTAAATAATTCCCTTGTTTTCTATTTAATGCTCTGCCAAACATCCAACATGCACTGTATTTGTTATGGTACCTTATTATGAAAGGAAAGCCAAGTTGGATGACATCCTCTTGGAGTTGCAAATGTTGTTGGAGCAACAGTTGAATTAATGGAACTGTTGTGCCTTTCACATATGTAGGGATTTGGATAACCACAGTTTATATCATTCCAAAATCCTGAATGTAAAATAAATGGGGAACAGTATGACACCACATCCAGAGCTGGTTAAGTGGAAATCAATTTCACTCATTCTTACATGAAGTGCTTTTAAAGATAAGATCAAATCTTCAGAGTCTCTCAGTTTATTATCATTCTCTATCAGTATCTAGGATAAACATTGCACTCTATACACACTATAATTACAGAATGTTAAAAGCAGTGTAGAAACAGGTACTGGAAATATCAATTTTATAGTGACACATTAGGCCAATTTTAACAAAAAATATAAAACAGTTGTATCATACTCACAGCCACAGACCTCTATCAGAGCTTCCCTGTGCTAGGTTTAGGGTAAACACAACAGCACAAAACTATTAAGCCCTGAATATAATAGTGTGGGCCAGTTGTATAACATTTTGCAAAAGAACAAAAAAAAAGGGGGAAAGGAGTGCCCATCAGAAGAAAAAAAAGACAGTTGTGACACAAACCCACAAATAATGCAATTCAGGAACAAACATACAAAACTCACCTAAATTCTTATACATAACTACACAGTTTTCATCATTATTTGCAAAGTTAGGTTCATGTGGTGCCCATGCCAAATAATTCACTGGAGTGCCGTCCATCCAGCTTAAGAAAAACAATCCAAAAAAACATTTCTTTAACATACAAATAGAACTACTTCCATGTTACAAAAAGTAATTTTGCAATATGCTTAATATAGCCATTCATAGTTTAAGGTGCATAAAGTTTTTTCACCAGTCTGCCTCTTTGCTAATTGCACTAAACTTATTCTCTGAACAAAGACCTAGGGTTTGTGTTGAAGTTATGTTTACTCTGCTTTTAAGCAACATTCTGACACTTTTACAACTTACAGGACAATACTCAGAACAATCACTCAAGCCAACATGAAAGCCAGACACCACTTTAACATGAGAGAGTCCAAATGCTCATTATTTCCCTCAAGTCACATATTCTCTGTGCCTATTACAGAGATAAGAGATTTTATTCCTAACACTGGTAAAATGCTTGATCTTTCCCCCATGCAGAGGAAAAGGGCATGACAAACAACTTAAAAGGGAATTCCTGTGACAATGTGCCTTACCATAGGGTAAAATATAAACATCAAAAAAGTTGTACATCCATGTAGATCAAACAATAAAGAACAAAATCATAATCAGGAAACCAAACACTTCTTAGGAGAAATATTCCTATTGGGCTGCAAGTTACAGAGGTGCCCAGGTTTGCCCTTCAGGCATATACACGAGGTACTTCACTTAAAAGTATATCCATCTTAGAGTCTCTACAAAAATAATTGAATGGCAGAGACACCTCATTTTCAGAAGGTGATCTGGCCCACCTAGCACCCCAGACCCTCAGGAGGGTCCTCATTGTCACTGTGGTCTATAAGGAGAATTAAGAACTAGTAGGCGTCTATCCAGGCACCTCAAGACTCAGACTGAACTGAATCCCGGTCTAAATTTAGCATCACATGTAAAAATCAATATGGTGCTGCATACAGAAACATTCAGAAAAGCTTGCATAAAACCTGCTTATCCTCACCTGAAGTCATACAATGGCAACAGCTATGTTTGTTCTACAAAAAGAAATTAGGTTGCATTTTTTCCCTTTATTACAGTTTGTTCCCAACAGTTAAGGAGGGGGAAAAAGAATGTTTTTACCTACTAAAAATCTTATATATATTGAGTTCAGGCACCTCTATATTTTCAATATAAATCATGGAATAAAGAAAATTAGAAATTCTGAATAAAAATTCAAAATACATTATCTGCAGCGTAATTTTTCTGCTACCTTTGTGTGAATTCTGTTTAGGAAACATGCAGTATTTCTCCTGCATAATCTGGAGTTAAATTAATACAGAATTAAACCACTTGAGAATACAACCACATTTAAGTTAAGGCTCAAAACTAGGTATGTCCTTTGAAAATCCATGCCCTATTGGGTTAACCTGTTTGGTCCCACAGACTACAAAATCTTAAAACAAACAGTAAAGCATGACTTTCCAAATCTAATAGACCTGATTTAAATTTATAAAAACAAAGTTAATGCTTTTATAGTGTTAAAGAGTAATTTAAATTTTAGGTTTTATGGATCTACTCCAGCTTTCAGTGGTATCAAGGAGAAATTCCATTTACTTAAAAAGGAGTTGGTCTTCTATAAAGAAAAAATTTTACCAGCATCAACAGGAAATACTTTTTTAAAATTTCTCATATTAGCTACATTTTATTGGAGCACAGACAAGGTAGACAACAGCTGAGGGTAAAATTCAGATCAAGCTTTTTTCCTGCTATAATGAAATACAGAATAACAGTAGTATTGAGTGATAATGCCTAACAACAGAAATGGGATTTTTTAAAAGTGGATTAAACACAGTGGCATGGTATATTTACTACAAAATAAATTTTTACAGCCTTCATAATCAAAAACCACCAAATATTTAAGTCCCAGAAAATTCAGAGGAAAAACATTCTCATTTGCTTTGACAGGCCAAAATTTCATTCAAGCACTTCATTATTTTTGCTCTGCTCAGTATATTTCTTTATTTTAAAGCACAATGCAAGCTTGATGGTTCTAGTTGGCCTACCTTGCCCGTTGGTCAACACTCAGTTGTAAACCAATGAAATATGAATCCTCTTTGCCATTTTTCAAGATCTAGAACATAAAGATTAAAACTGTATAAATGTCCTCCTTTAATCATAGAACTTTATTATTTTAATAATGACTAATACACATCTGACTGACAGAGAATATAAATTGCTATATTCTCTAGCTACAACACTAAAGTTAAAGCAGCTCACAGGTGACAGTCCACAGTCAAACTTCACCATCAGGAAAAAGGTGTGGTCGCTATACCATCACTTCTCACAGTCTTACTTGAAAGTCACTGAAATCAGCACCTCTTGCACAGTCTCTGAAGTGGTCATTACCTGACAAATTTCTTGCAAGGGACAAGCCTTCCTGCAATTTGGATACAAACTGATATAGGTCCTTGCATCATCTCACTGCCACTCTTCAGTCAGCTCAGGAAAAGTTTTATATAGTTCAAATCTGACTTTTAAGCACATTACTGATTAAAAGAAGTTGTCCTCAAGACAGTATAAACAGGCAACCAATCCCAGTCACCTAGGAAATATAATTTAAAAACTCTTTCTCATGGTATAATCCATGCCTCAAGTTGTTCTTCCTGCATAATTATATTCTCCCCACAAGGAGAAGGAGGCAAAGGAGCAAACTTGAGGATCAAGAAGAGGCTGCTAGGCAGACTACATCCCAGATACACCAACAAGATCAAAAGTCAATTGTTGCATGTAAGTCAGTATCTGTTTTTATCTACTTAAGATATCTTGAGTTTATCTGTTGATAAGGTTTACTTTCAGTTAACTCACCCACCTTACAGAATTGTAGCTCCCAAGTATAATACTTCTTGCTAAAATGAAGCCACAGATCAATTAAAAGTAAGCATTACGATTTACCTTAGCACATTACCAGTTGTAGATAGATATAATGTGGTGTAACTGCTACATTGAATAGGAAAAGAAGATAATGATCTGTTTAATGCTTACTGTGCTTATTTCTGTACAAAATACCAAACCAAAATTGTCCATGTCTCAGCTATGAAACAATCCAAAAAAAGACTTGAGTTTGTTCTTCATCATATTAATTTGGCCTAATGCTACTGCAATTTCACTATCATAAAACTTGTAGGGATAACACTGGGTTGAAAAGGATTTGTGCCCATGCTCAGTTGTTTTGGATGATTTATTCCTTAATATTAATGATTTTTCTTACATATCTCCAGAGGAACTTTCTTTCACTTTCACTCTCAATGACAGCAAGGTCTCCAAAGTTCCTTTTGCAGAATTCCCGACCTTTTTCCATAGGAACACTATCCGTGCTGAAATAATATTGTTTGTCTTCATACATAATCCATCCATCCTCAGTAGTCTTGTATTCTGTAAGATAAATGGTAAGCTAACTATATTGTTCCTGAGATACAAGACATTCTCATTAGTAAAATTTTTTAAATGCTTTTAGACATACACACACAAAAAAAATAATAGCAATAACATTTACTGGGTGCAGGAGATTCTGTTGGTTCAGGCTTTAAACTTGCTCCTGTAAGAAAAAAAATATTTATTACGATTTTACACTTTCTGCTGGAAGAGAAAATATTTACTATGATTGCTAGGCATGTTTTTCTATTGACATTGAATTTTACAGTTAGCAATAGATTTAACACCAAAAACTTGAAGGAACTAAATAGCCTAAATATCTTATTTTTGGTACACTATTCAATTTTAAATACATATTCTTGTTCCCAGAGGTTCTAAATATAAACTATTCCTAATGTGCAATGAATATAAAATACCTTGAAATTTACCTAAATTAAGTAATTATAGTTGGTATTCACTGGATGCAGAAAACCTTATGCTCCAAAGCATTAACTCTATTAAGACAGTCCTGTATCTCCCTTCTTTCCCCAGGTCACTTATACATGAATTCTGGCTTAAACCAGAGGCA